TAGCACTCTCGCCTCTCAGCAAGAAGGTCCTGGGTTCGAATCCCGGCCGGACCAGGGCCTTTCTGAGTGGAGTTTGCATGTTCTCCCCGTGTCTGCGTAGGTTTCCTCCGGGTACTCCGGTTTCCCCTACCACTAAAAATATGTATAATAGTTCTGGCATGTGCCTCCTGTACTGGCCCCGCTCCCATCTCTGTGTGGAGTGAGAGACAAATGCCCAAAAAATAACAATTGTAAACCGCTTTGTGACTCTGGTCTGTGAAAGGCGGTATATAAATAAAGCTTACTACTCTCTGTTCCTGCTCGTCTGTGTTCCTGGTCATCTCTGTTCCTGGTCCTGTTTGTTCCTGGTCCTCTCTGTTCCTGGTCTTCTCTGTTCCTGGTCTTCTCTGTTCCTGGTCCTCTCTGTTCCTGGTCCTCTCTGGTCCTGGTCCTCTCTGTTCCTGGTCCTCTCTGGCCCTGGTCCTCTCTGTTCCTGGTCTTCTCTGTTCCTGGTCGTCTGTGTTCCTGGTCATCTTTGTTCCTGGTCCTCTTTGTTCCTGGTCCTCTCTGTTCCTGGTCTTCTCTGGTCCTCTCTGTTCCTGGTCCTCTCTGTTCCTGGTCCTCTCTAGTCCTGGTCCTCTCTGTTCCTGGTCCTCTCTAGTCCTGGTGCTCTCTGGTCCTGGTCCTCTCTGTTCCTGGTCCTCTCTGTTCCTGGTCCTCTCTGGCCCTGGTCCTCTCTGCTCCTGGTCTTCTCTGTTCCTGGTCGTCTGTGTTCCTGGTCCTCTCTGGCCCTGGTCCTCTCTGTTCCTGGTCCTCTCTGGCCCTGGTCCTCTCTGTTCCTGGTCCTCTCTGTTCCTGGTCTTCTCTGTTCCTGGTCTTCTCTGGTCCTCTCTGTTCCTGGTCCTCTCTGGCCCTGGTCCTCTCTGCTCTTGGTCTTCTCTGTTCCTGGTCGTCTGTGTTCCTGGTCCTCTCTGTTCCTGGTCCTCTCTGTTCCTGGTCCTCTCTGTTCCTGGTCCTCTCTGTTCCTGGTCCTCTCTAGTCCTGGTCCTCTCTGTTCCTGGTCCTCTCTAGTCCTGGTGCTCTCTTGTCCTGGTCCTCTCTGTTCCTGGTCCTCTCTGGCCCTGGTCCTCTCTGCTCCTGGTCTTCTCTGTTCCTGGTCGTCTGTGTTCCTGGTCCTCTCTGGTCCTGGTCCTCTCTGTTCCTGGTCCTCTCTGTTCCTGGTCCTCTCTGTTCCTGGTCTTCTCTGTTCCTGGTCTTCTCTGGTCCTCTCTGTTCCTGGTCCTCTCTGGCCCTGGTCCTCTCTGCTCCTGGTCTTCTCTGTTCCTGGTCGTCTGTGTTCCTGGTCCTCTCTGGCCCTGGTCCTCTCTGTTCCTGGTCCTCTCTGGCCCTGGTCCTCTCTGTTCCTGGTCCTCTCTGGCCCTGGTCCTCTCTGTTCCTGGTCCTCTCTGGCCCTGGTCCTCTCTGTTCCTGGTCTTCTCTGTTCCTGGTCGTCTGTGTTCCTGGTCCTCTCTGTTCCTGGTCCTCTTTGTTCCTGGTCCTCTCTGTTCCTGGTCTTCTCTGTTCCTGGTCCTCTCAGGTCCTGGTCCTCTCTAGTCCTGGTCCTCTCTGCTCCTGGTCTTCTCTGTTCCTGGTTGTCTGTGTTCCTGGTCCTCTCTGGCCCTGGTCCTCTCTGTTCCTGGTCCTCTCTGTTCCTGGTCCTCTCTGTTCCTGGTCCTCTCTAGTCCTGGTCCTCTCTGTTCCTGGTCCTCTCTAGTCCTGGTGCTCTCTGGTCCTGGTCCTCTCTGTTCCTGGTCCTCTCTGGCCCTGGTCCTCTCTGCTCCTGGTCTTCTCTGTTCCTGGTCGTCTGTGTTCCTGGTCCTCTCTGGTCCTGGTCCTCTCTGTTCCTGGTCCTCTCTGTTCCTGGTCTTCTCTGTTCCTGGTCTTCTCTGGTCCTCTCTGTTCCTGGTCCTCTCTGCTCCTGGTCTTCTCTGTTCCTGGTCGTCTGTGTTCCTGGTCCTCTCTGGCCCTGGTCCTCTCTGTTCCTGGTCCTCTCTGGTGCTGGTCCTCTCTGGTCCTGGTCCTCTCTGTTCCTGGTCCTCTCTGTTCCTGGTCCTCTCTGTTCCTGGTCCTCTTTGTTCCTGGTCCTCTCTGTTTCTGGTCTTCTCTGTTCCTGGTCCTCTCTGGTCCTGGTCCTCTCTGGTCCTGGTCCTCTCTGTTCCTGGTCCTCTCTGGTCCTGGTCCTCTCTGGTCCTGGTCCTCTCTGTTCCTGGTCCTCTCTGGTCCTGGTCCTCTCTGGTCCTGGTCCTCTCTGTTCCTGGTCCTCTCTGGCCCTGGTCCTCTCTGTTTCTGGTCTTCTCTGTTCCTGGTCCTCTCTGGTCCTGGTCCTCTCTGGTCCTGGTCCTCTCTGTTCCTGGTCCTCTCTGGCCCTGGTCCTCTCTGTTCCTGGTCCTTTCTGGTCCTGGTCCTCTCTGGTCCTGGTCTTCTCTGTTCCTGGTCCTCTCTGTCCCTGGTCCTCTCTGGTCCTGGTCCTCTCTGTTCCTGGTCGTCTGTGTTCCTGGTCCTCTCCGGCCCTGGTCCTCTCTGTTCCTGGTCCTCTCTGGCCCTGGTCCTCTCTGTTCCTGGTCCTCTCTGTTCCTGGTCCTCTCTGGCCCTGGTCCTCTCTGTTCCTGGTCTTCTCTGTTCCTGGTCGTCTGTGTTCCTGGTCCTCTCTGTTCCTGGTCCTCTTTGTTCCTGGTCCTCTCTGTTCCTGGTCTTCTCTGTTCCTGGTCCTCTCTAGTCCTGGTCCTCTCTAGTCCTGGTCCTCTCTGCTCCTGGTCTTCTCTGTTCCTGGTTGTCTGTGTTCCTGGTCCTCTCTGGCCCTGGTCCTCTCTGTTCCTGGTCCTCTCTGTTCCTGGTCCTCTCTAGTCCTGGTCCTCTCTGTTCCTGGTCCTCTCTAGTCCTGGTGCTCTCTGGTCCTGGTCCTCTCTGTTCCTGGTCCTCTCTGGCCCTGGTCCTCTCTGCTCCTGGTCTTCTCTGTTCCTGGTCGTCTGTGTTCCTGGTCCTCTCTGGTCCTGGTCCTCTCTGTTCCTGGTCCTCTCTGTTCCTGGTCCTCTCTGTTCCTGGTCCTCTCTGTTCCTGGTCTTCTCTGTTCCTGGTCTTCTCTGGTCCTCTCTGTTCCTGGTCCTCTCTGGCCCTGGTCCTCTCTGCTCCTGGTCTTCTCTGTTCCTGGTCGTCTGTGTTCCTGGTCCTCTCTGGCCCTGGTCCTCTCTGTTCCTGGTCCTCTCTGGTCCTGGTCCTCTCTGGTCCTGGTCCTCTCTGTTCCTGGTCCTCCCTGGTCCTGGTCCTCTCTGTTCCTGGTCCTCTCTGTTCCTGGTCCTCTCTGTTCCTGGTCCTCTTTGTTCCTGGTCCTCTCTGTTTCTGGTCTTCTCTGTTCCTGGTCCTCTCTGTTCCTGGTCCTCTCTGGTCCTGGTCCTCTCTTTTCCTGGTCCTCTCTGGTCCTGGTCCTCTCTGGTCCTGGTCCTCTCTGTTCCTGGTCCTCTCTAGTCCTGGTCCTCTCTGGTCCTGGTCCTCTCTGTTCCTGGTCCTCTCTGGCCCTGGTCCTCTCTGTTCCTGGTCCTTTCTGGTCCTGGTACTCTCTGGTCCTGGTCTTCTCTGTTCCTGGTCCTCTCTGTCCCTGGTCCTCTCTGGTCCTGGTCCTCTCTGTTCCTGGTCGTCTGTGTTCCTGGTCCTCTCCGGCCCTGGTCCTCTCTGTTCCTGGTCTTCTCTGTTCCTGGTCTTCTCTGGTCCTCTCTGTTCCTGGTCCTCTCTGGCCCTGGTCCTCTCTGTTCCTGGTCTTCTCTGTTCCTGGTCGTCTGTGTTCCTGGTCCTCTCTGTTCCTGGTCCTCTTTGTTCCTGGTCCTCTCTGTTCCTGGTCTTCTCTGTTCCTGGTCCTCTCTAGTCCTGGTCCTCTCTGCTCCTGGTCTTCTCTGTTCCTGGTCGTCTGTGTTCCTGGTCCTCTCTGGCCCTGGTCCTCTCTGTTCCTGGTCCTCTCTGTTCCTGGTCCTCTCTGTTCCTGGTCCTCTCTAGTCCTGGTCCTCTCTGTTCCTGGTCCTCTCTAGTCCTGGTGCTCTCTGGTCCTGGTCCTCTCTGTTCCTGGTCCTCTCTGTTCCTGGTCTTCTCTGTTCCTGGTCTTCTCTGGTCCTCTCTGTTCCTGGTCCTCTCTGGCCCTGGTCCTCTCTGCTCCTGGTCTTCTCTGTTCCTGGTCGTCTGTGTTCCTGGTCCTCTCTGGCCCTGGTCCTCTCTGTTCCTGGTCCTCTCTGGTCCTGGTCCTCTCTGTTCCTGGTCCTCCCTGGTCCTGGTCCTCTCTGTTCCTGGTCCTCTCTGTTCCTGGTCCTCTCTGTTCCTGGTCCTCTTTGTTCCTGGTCCTCTCTGTTTCTGGTCTTCTCTGTTCCTGGTCCTCTCTGTTCCTGGTCCTCTCTGGTCCTGGTCCTCTCTGGTCCTGGTCCTCTCTGTTCCTGGTCCTCTCTGGTCCTGGTCCTCTCTGGTCCTGGTCCTCTCTGTTCCTGGTCCTCTCTGGTCCTGGTCCTCTCTGGTCCTGGTCCTCTCTGTTCCTGGTCCTCTCTGGCCCTGGTCCTCTCTGTTTCTGGTCTTCTCTGTTCCTGGTCCTCTCTGGTCCTGGTCCTCTCTGGTCCTGGTCCTCTCTGTTCCTGATCCTCTCTGGCCCTGGTCCTCTCTGTTCCTGGTCCTTTCTGGTCCTGGTCCTCTCTGGTCCTGGTCTTCTCTGTTCCTGGTCCTCTCTGTCCCTGGTCCTCTCTGGTCCTGGTCCTCTCTGTTCCTGGTCGTCTGTGTTCCTGGTCTTCTCCGGCCCTGGTCCTCTCTGTTCCTGGTCCTCTCTGGCCCTGGTCCTCTCTGTTCCTGGTCCTCTCTGTTCCTGGTCCTCTCTGGCCCTGGTCCTCTCTGTTCCTGGTCTTCTCTGTTCCTGGTCGTCTGTGTTCCTGGTCCTCTCTGTTCCTGGTCCTCTTTGTTCCTGGTCCTCTCTGTTCCTGGTCTTCTCTGTTCCTGGTCCTCTCTAGTCCTGGTCCTCTCTAGTCCTGGTCCTCTCTGCTCCTGGTCTTCTCTGTTCCTGGTTGTCTGTGTTCCTGGTCCTCTCTGGCCCTGGTCCTCTCTGTTCCTGGTCCTCTCTGTTCCTGGTCCTCTCTGTTCCTGGTCCTCTCTAGTCCTGGTCCTCTCTGTTCCTGGTCCTCTCTAGTCCTGGTGCTCTCTGGTCCTGGTCCTCTCTGTTCCTGGTCCTCTCTGGCCCTGGTCCTCTCTGCTCCTGGTCTTCTCTGTTCCTGGTCGTCTGTGTTCCTGGTCCTCTCTGGTCCTGGTCCTCTCTGTTCCTGGTCCTCTCTGTTCCTGGTCCTCTCTGTTCCTGGTCTTCTCTGTTCCTGGTCTTCTCTGGTCCTCTCTGTTCCTGGTCCTCTCTGGCCCTGGTCCTCTCTGCTCCTGGTCTTCTCTGTTCCTGGTCGTCTGTGTTCCTGGTCCTCTCGGGCCCTGGTCCTCTCTGTTCCTGGTCTCTCTCTGTCCTGGTCCTCCTGGTCTGTCCTCTCCGCCTGGTCCTCTCTGGTCCCTCCTGTCTGGTCTCTCTGTCCTGTCCTGGTCCTCTCTGTGTTCTCCTTCCTCTCCTGGGTTTCCCTCTGCTCCTGGTCTTCTCTGTTCCTGGTCGTCTGTGTTCCTGGTCCTCTCTGGTCCTGGTCCTCTCTGTTCCTGGTCCTCTCTGTTCCTGGTCCTCTCTGTTCCTGGTCTTCTCTGTTCCTGGTCTTCTCTGGTCCTCTCTGTTCCTGGTCCTCTCTGGCCCTGGTCCTCTCTGCTCCTGGTCTTCTCTGTTCCTGGTCGTCTGTGTTCCTGGTCCTCTCGGGCCCTGGTCCTCTCTGTTCCTGGTCCTCTCTGTTCCTGGTCCTCTCTGGTCCTGGTCCTCTCCGGCCCTGGTCCTCTCTGTTCCTGGTCCTCCCTGGTCCTGGTCCTCTCTGTTCCTGGTCCTCTCTGTTCCTGGTCCTCTCTGTTCCTGGTCCTCTTTGTTCCTGGTCCTCTCTGTTTCTGGTCTTCTCTGTTCCTGGTCCTCTCTGTTCCTGGTCCTCTCTGGCCCTCTCTGTTCCTGGTCTTCTCTGTTCCTGGTCGTCTGTGTTCCTGGTCCTCTCTGGTCCTGGTCCTCTCTGTTCCTGGTCCTCTCTGGTCCTGGTCCTCTCTGGTCCTGGTCCTCTCTGTTCCTGGTCCTGTCTGGCCCTGGTCCTCTCTGTTTCTGGTCTTCTCTGTTCCTGGTCCTCTCTGGTCCTGGTCCTCTCTGGTCCTGGTCCTCTCTGTTCCTGGTCCTCTCTGGCCCTGGTCCTCTCTGTTCCTGGTCCTTTCTGGTCCTGGTCCTCTCTGGTCCTGGTCTTCTCTGTTCCTGGTCCTCTCTGTCCCTGGTCCTCTCTGGTCCTGGTCCTCTCTGTTCCTGGTCGTCTGTGTTCCTGGTCCTCTCCGGCCCTGGTCCTCTCTGTTCCTGGTCCTCTCTGGCCCTGGTCCTCTCTGTTCCTGGTCCTCTCTGTTCCTGGTCCTCTCTGGACCTGGTCCTCTCTGTTCCTGGTCATCTCTGTTCCTGGTCGTCTGTGTTCCTGGTCCTCTCTGTTCCTGGTCCTCTTTGTTCCTGGTCCTCTCTGTTCCTGGTCTTCTCTGTTCCTGGTCCTCTCTAGTCCTGGTCCTCTCTAGTCCTGGTCCTCTCTGCTCCTGGTCTTCTCTGTTCCTGGTCGTCTGTGTTCCTGGTCCTCTCTGGCCCTGGTCCTCTCTGTTCCTGGTCCTCTCTGTTCCTGGTCATCTCTGTTCCTGGTCCTCTCTAGTCCTGGTCCTCTCTGTTCCTGGTCCTCTCTAGTCCTGGTGCTCTCTGGTCCTGGTCCTCTCTGTTCCTGGTCCTCTCTGGCCCTGGTCCTCTCTGCTCCTGGTCTTCTCTGTTCCTGGTCGTCTGTGTTCCTGGTCCTCTCTGGTCCTGGTCCTCTCTGTTCCTGGTCCTCTTTGTTCCTGGTCCTCTCTGTTCCTGGTCCTCTCTAGTCCTGGTCCTCTCTAGTCCTGGTCCTCTCTAGTCCTGGTCCTCTCTAGTCCTGGTCCTCTCTAGTCCTGGTCCTCTCTGTTCCTGGTCCTCTCTGTTCCTGGTCCTCTCTGTTCCTGGTCCTGGTCTTTCCTGTTTTTGAACTGTTTGATTCTCTGATCTGCTGTTGGCGACTTGACAACTTCGACTGCTGTTGTGATTTAGGGCGACACATAAATAAATCGCCCCGAAAAGAAGCTGAAGCAGCGGTTCGTGGTCCCTCGTGTCCCACATTCAGTCGCTTCTGTTCCGTTGGCGTCAGATCCACATGAAACTTTAAGTATGCCCTAATTATTCTGTTTATGCAAAAATGAAAAACGAGCCGCCATTTTGTTTTTTGTGCCTCAGAAACTACAGATCTACTTCCTGGTTTCTCTGTGGCAGATGTGAACGGGTGCAGGACATTTTGGCTCAGATGAAGCGTTTAATCCCAGTTACCATGACAGCCTCCTCCTCTCTCCTCCTATTGTCTCCCCTCTCATTTCTCCTCCCCTTACATCTCTCCTCCTCTCTCATCTCTTTTCCTTCTCTCTCCTCATCATCTCCCCTTCTTCCCCTCCTATCTCCTCCTCCCGCTCTCCTTCTTCCCTTCTCTTCCTCCCCTCTCATTTCTCCTCCTTCCCCTCATCTCTCTTCCTTCTCCTCTCATCTCTGCTCCTCTCTCCTCTTGCCCAATTTCTCCTCCTTCTTTTCCTCCTCCTCTCTCCTTCTCCCCCTCCCCTCCTCTCTCTTCCTCTCTCCTCCTCCTATCACATATTGTGTTTTTGGGATCAGATATTCCACACATTCCTCCACAGTTGGAGCCGGAGGACGAGGAGGCAGCGGAGCGACACTAGCCCGGATCGGAGCACCTCGGCTGGGCACGGATCAGAGCGCCTCCCCCCTTTCTCTCCCCCCTCCTGTCACATCTGACCATGAATAATGCAACAAGTCTTTCCACAGTCTGTCACAGAGAGCTCCAGAAGCAGAGGCCAGATATCAGAGAAGTTCTTTTATACCGAGGGAAATGTAGGTCACGTGAAAGTGCAATAGTTACTTTCAAAGAAAAAAATATCCACTGATTGCTCAGAGAATATCAACTAAAAACCTGCACTTATGTGTTTTGATACAAAGATTAAATGTTGTGAACTACTGTACATGGAGTTTTCATCTAACTGTAAATTTGTCCGTTTGATTTTCTAGAAAACGTAATTTTTTTATGTAGGAAAGATCCCTGTGAGTCACTATTTGACTCTTTGGGCTGATTGGCCGAGACAGAGTGGTCCTCTCTTTTTCACTGTCTGAAAAAGTTGATGTAAAGACGTTAAAACAAGTGATAGAAGCAAAATATTTTAGAGCAGTGACTTGTGACATGGATTTTATTAGAGTTCTATTGTTGTGGTATGAAAGTTACGTAGCCCAGCTTTAATTGATGATGAAATACCACAATGTATAAACATATTCTCGGTATGTGTTTAGTTACGACAATAAAGTTCATGTACGTTGGTTCAATGTTTTTTGTAATATTCGAGGAGAAAAAAACGTATGTGGAAAAAAAGATTGTGGCCATTTTAGTGAATGTGTGTAACAATATTTTTACTGTTTTTTTCTATGAAAGATTGTGTCCTGAAATCCTCAGTTGGCTCGGGAGGCTGTCAACAAATATAGTCGGGTGCTGACAACGTGCATTGAAAAACACATTCTGAAAACGAATTTCATCCTGATTTCCAAACAAATTAAATATTTCTTGTATTGTATGACATCACAGCTACTACATAGTTGAGGCAGTGTGGGGGGTCTCTCCGTCTGTGGACTCTGACAGGAGCATGGAGCAGGCCTCCTGCTGACGGCCGCACTCTCCATGTCCTCGTGGGTATAAATGTTTTATTTTCTGTCTCTGTTTGTAGCCTGTGTCCGTGTCCAGTGTTATTAAATCTTCTTTACCACCTCTTTTGTTTGTGTCTAAAACATTGATCCACAACAAGATGCTGCACCAGCTGTGGATCCCAGACCATAGACTGTATATATTAACGGACAGAGTCACGCCTATCTGCGTCGTTCAAACAAATGGGCCAAAAAAGTTGCTCTACTGGAGCAATCCAAAATGGCTACGAGTGGTCCCACCCACAAGAAAATTGTGTAAAAACGCATCTGTGCATGCGTCAGCCGGCGCAACTCCATTCATTTAACGAGTGCCTTCAATAATTCACAGCAAGTAAACTAGAGTGGTCCAAAGAAATCCACCCCCCTCAGCATTGACACACATGTGGAACGGAGCTTTGGGCCAAGAGCCAACTTTTGGTCCATCCTCTAAAGACGTTTTCGAGAGGTCTGCTAACGCTATATGTTAGCATTGGCTAACGCTTACATATTCCGGGTCCACCCCATCGGCCCGGGGGGGTATTGGAAGCATGTCAGCGCATGTCATTTTGGCCACTTTTGAGCTGGGACCACCCCCACTGTCCCAGACACAGACCCTCATGGATTCTAGTTTTCTCCTTTGGCCCCAGACAATAATAACAACCGGTACAATGAAAACCATTACAATGTTTTAAGTATTTGTCTTTAAAGTCGGGCTTTTAAAATAAATGAATGAAAAACACATGAGTTTGAAAATACGCTGGCATTTTATTTCATCATACCCTGTTGAATACAAAAGACAAATCCTAAAATACTTTGAAAACCACAAAAAACATTTGATCAAACAAAACGTGACACAATCCTTCATTCCAATGCAGCGCAATAGCCGCGTGATGCTAGGTTAGCTAAATGATGCCAAGTTAGCAACATGTTGCTAAGTTAGCAGCACAATGCTAAGTTTGCAAGATGATGCGAAGTTGGCAAACTGATACTAATTTAGCCACGCAATGCTAAGTTAGCTGAACGATGCTAAGTTAGCTACATAATTCTAAGTTAGCCACACAAAGCTAAGTTAGCCATGCGATGCTGAATTAGCCACTACAGTCACCTGCAGAGGCGAGGTCATATTTGGTGTGAATTGTGCGAGTTTTGTCACACCTCTGTAGGATATAAAAATTCTGAAACACGTCCCTTGTTTGATCAACACTTAAAAACGGTGACAAAACAAGTGCCAAAAACACTTCTATGAGAGCGTTCAGTCCAAAGTACACTTTCTGACGATTCCATTCGATGAAAAGACTGGAGAATAGCTGTGTGAAAATTGCACTTGAAACACAGGTATACGCACTGGCAGAAAATCAGGCTGGAAACTCAGACAAAACTATTGTGTCCACACTTTTGGACTTGGGGCACGAGGAGGGCAGAACGAAGCTCTGTTTGAACTGGACACTTTCCAATATCACTTTCCAGGAAATGTGGAGATCGTCGACAGTCGTGGACATTGGTCATCTGCCCCTTATGGACTCAGTTTTTTTATCTGTGTGAACTGCTTGATTCTCTGATCTGTGTTGGTGAATCGACAGCTTTGTAAAGTCCTCGGCGATGATTGAATGTAATCTACTTTTGCTGCTGGAAGTTTCGGTGACCCAAGTCAAAAACTGTCGACATTTCCAAATTAATACAAAAAAATACCTCGTCCTTCCTGCCGCTGGACCTTGAACCTGGGGTACCTAACTTTTCTGTTGCATAAATAACATTTAGTTTGTTCAACAGAAAGTCATTATCTTTTGTATGAGAAAGATCCCTGTGAGTCACTATTTGTCTGTTTGGGTGCTGATTCACTTTTTTGTCTGAAAAAGCCTGGATCTGCCTCATGAAAAGGACACTGAAGGAAGTTTTCATTATGATTTGGATGCAGCCCACGTCAGTCTGTGGTCAGGAGTAAAATGGCCGCCCCGTGTCGGAGCCTCTGCTGAGTCGTAGTAGCTGGGACGGGGAGGGTGGGACATCCTGTCGGAGCGGGCCTTTGGGAGACATCTGATTGGACGAAAAGCTGGTAAACCCCGCCTCCTGCTCCCGCCGCCGCTGCTCCTGTCGCAGTAACTCTTGAGCCTCCATCAGAACCCGAGCGTTCACTCCTGAGCCGGTCCCAGGCCCCGCTGCGTAGCCGTTAGCACGCGGGTAGCCATTGGTCCTGCCCACAGTCTGGTAGCTCTGGTTCCTGAGCGCCTGGTTTGTGGTTCCCTGGTTCCTTGGGGCCTGGTTTGAGGTTCCCTGGCTCCTGGGACCCTGCAGGCTGCTGTAGCGGGGGTTCTCCTTGCCCGACTGGAAGGCCTCTCCGGGGGTGAAGTCCTGGGACACGGAGCTCAGCTGTTTCCTCGGTTGTCTGAATAAAAAAGGACAGGAGGCAGATGTGTCATGGTCTTTATCTCTCTTTGAAAAAACAGCTGTCTTTGTTACCATGCCAACTGTCCAGTCTCAGGAAAATGGTCTTTGAGATAAGTCATACGGTGTGTCTCAAAAGTACTAATACACCTTTAAACGTTAGCACACTTTGTCATGTTTACAACCAAAAACAACATTTATTTTAACATTTTCTTCAGAAATGTAAATAGTATAGCACCACTGCAGACTTACCAAGACATGGCCATCTACCCAAACAAACAGATCGAACAAGGAAAGCAATATAAATCAACTGTGTCTCGGATCATTTGGCCCCGACCGGCGGGGTGCCACAGGGGTCGATCCTGGGACCTTCTGTTCAGTCTCTACATTGTTAGATTACAACATAACATAATAACACTAAGTATATGGACCAGACTCAGCACAGAACATGGACCAGAATTAGTCCAACAGGAGAACATGGACCAGACTCGGGAGAGAACATGGACCAGACTCGGGAGAGAACATGGACCAGACTCGCGAGAGAACATGGACCAGACTCGCGAGAGAACATGGACCAGACTCGCGAGAGAACATGGACCAGACTCGCGAGAGAACATGGACCAGACTCGCGAGAGAACATGGACCAGACTCGCGAGAGAACATGGACCAGACTCGCGAGAGAACATGGACCAGACTCGCGAGAGAACATGGACCAGACTCGCGAGAGAACATGGACCAGACTCGCGAGAGAACATGGACCAGACTCGCGAGAGAACATGGACCAGACTCGCGAGAGAACATGGACCAGACTCGCGAGAGAACATGGACCAGACTCGCGAGAGAACATGGACCAGACTCGCGAGAGAACATGGACCAGACTCGCGAGAGAACATGGACCAGACTCGCGAGAGAACATGGACCAGACTCGCGAGAGAACATGGACCAGACTCGCGAGAGAACATGGACCAGACTCGCGAGAGAACATGGACCAGACTCGCGAGGAGAGAACATGGACCAGACTCGCGAGAGAACCATGGACCAGACTCGCGAGAGAACATGGACCAGACTCGGAGAGAACATGGACCAGACTCGGGAGAGAACATGGACCAGACTCGGGAGAGAGAACATGACAGACTCGGGAGAGAACATGGACCAGACTCGGGAGAGAACATGGACCAGACTCGGGAGAGAACATGGACCAGACTCGGGAGAGAACATGGACCAGACTCGGGAGAGAACATGGACCAGACTCGGGAGAGAACATGGACCAGACTCGGGAGAGAACATGGACCAGACTCGGGAGAAACATGGACCAGACTCGGGAGAGAACATGGACCAGACTCGGGAGAGAACATGGACCAGACTCGGGAGAGAACATGGACCAGACTCGGGAGAGAACATGGACCAGACTCGGGAGAGAACATGGACCAGACTCGCGAGAGAACATGGACCAGACTCGCGAGAGAACATGGACCAGACTCGCGAGAGAACATGGACCAGACTCGCGAGAGAACAGGGACCAGACTCGGGAGAGAACATGGACCAGACTCGGGAGAGAACATGGACCAGACTCGGGAGAGAACATGGACCAGACTCGGGAGAGAACATGGACCAGACTCGGGAGAGAACATGGACCAGACTCGGGAGAGAACATGGACCAGACTCGGGAGAGAACATGGACCAGACTCGGGAGAGAACATGGACCAGACTCGGGAGAGAACATGAACCAGACTCGGGAGAGAACATGGACCAGACTCGGGAGAGAACATGAACCAGACTCGGGAAAGAACATGGACCAGACTCGCGAGAGAACATGGACCAGACTCGCGAGAGAACATGGACCAGACTCGCGAGAGAACATGGACCAGACTCGCGAGAGAACATGGACCAGACTCGGGAGAGAACATGGACCAGACTCGCGAGAGAACATGGACCAGACTCGCGAGAGAACATGGACCAGACTCGCGAGAGAACATGGACCAGACTCGCGAGAGAACATGGACCAGACTCGCGAGAGAACATGGACCAGACTCAGACCTACAGTTCCTAAGTGCAGGGCCTCTCCTCGGTGCAGATGTGGATAATGTGGTTTGTGTTTGGACCAGAGCGCCTCCATGACATTAGATTAGAGCAGCCAGCGGGAGACAAGCAGCTGATGTCACAGAGAGGTGTGTGTGTGTGTGTGTGTATGGGTGTGTGTGTGTGTGCGTGTACGTGTGTGTGCTTGTGTGTGTGTGTTCAGATCTGTATCATCACATCTCTAACAGGAAATGTGAAACAGCACTGATCACGTCGCTCTGATATGAACCAAACACAGGATTATGATGTGATTTATGAAGTGAGCCCACTGCCATTCACACTATACATTTTATTTATATACAACCAGGAACACTAGTAGTAGTAACAGCAACAGTTGTAGCAGTATTAGCAGTGGAAGAAGAAGCATTAACAGCAGTAGTAGTGGTAGTAGTGGTAGTGGCAGTAATGGTAGTAGTAGTGATAGTAGAAGTAGTAGTAGTACCTTGGCAGGGAGCAGTACTGCCTCTGGTTGAAGGACTCTCTCTCTTCTCTTCTCTGTCGCTGCAGTTGAACTTCCACAGACACAGAGTGACGTCCGGGCACGCTGCTACAGCTCTGAACACAGGATATACAGGTGTGCCAAAATGTCTGCCCACGGGAGATACAGTTGTGCCAAAATGTCTGCCCACGGGAGATACAGGTGTGGCAACATGTGTTTATGATGATGATCAGAGTACAAAAGGGGGAAAGGGGGATCGTCAGAGCAATGGAGTCTTGAATGCCGTTTCTGACACATGTATCATGCGTGTTAAGTGTAATTATGTGTTAATAATGAGAGCAGTGACTTACGGATAGAGGACCATGCAGCAGGTGGAGGAGGTTACCATGGTGACGGAAGGACGCGGTCACCGTGGTGATGGTGATGTTACCGTGGTAGTGGAGGGTTAGGATGCTGTTACCGTGGTGATGGTGAGGTTACAGTGGTGATGGTGGTTAGGATGCGGGTACCGTGGTGATGGCAAGGTTACCATGGTGACAAAAGGATGCGGAAACCGTGGTGACAGAATGATGCGGTTGCTGTGGTGATGATGGTTAGGATGAAGTTACAGAGGGATGCGGTTCCCATGGTGACTGAAGGTGATGTTAGTTTGGTTAGAGCAAACACATGCAAATACACAAACGTTGACCCATGTTTTGATCAGTTGACAAAATAAAAGTCAAATATCAAGTCAAATAATTTCCCCCCAAAATCAAACTGCGCTTTAGCATCAAGAATAGAATATATAATAATGTTCTTTTTATTTTCCCAAATCTCACAATACTGGTCATTCTTTCTTTCCTCTGGATCAGTCCTGTTCCCTATGCATAACACGTAAAGATTTTATCTACAAAATCTATCTAGGTCCGATCTGAACACCAGACCCCCTGTGGAGCATGGGGGTGGAAACATGATGGTGTGGGGCTGTCTCAGTCTCAGCCCAATAGAACATCTGTGTTGCCCACGACAGCCCCAACAGCTCTAGAGATGTTCTGCAGGGAAGAATGGGCCACAGCTTCACAGTTCCTCTGCCAATACTGTCTTACTCAGTTATTTTTTAAATGTGTGAATTTAACTAAGACCATTACAAATCTTAAAGGGTTTTCAATCAGAGGTCGCAGGTCCAAACAGGTGAAACACACTTCTCCAGGTCGGATGTTTTTGCATTTTCACAAACGCTTCTCGTGATTCTCAGTCACAAAAACACATTTTATTATGAAAAACAGCACACATTTGTTTGTGATCTTTGACTTTCAACACTGGTGAAAACGGTACAAAACACTGCAGCACATTTACATCTCATTTACATATCAAAGAATAAGTTAAAGTCCATTTGCATCAATTATCTTTGTATTCTGGAAACTCATTTAGCGTTAATGGAACAGGAGCGCTCTCTCAGAACCATTCATTATAATAATAAAAGAAAAACTATGATTTTTAAAGTAATTTGATGAAAATAAATGAGTAAATTTGACAGAAATATGGAGCGTTTCTTCCACAGTCTCGGATCTTACAAATCTTTTGGTTTTGTGGCAAACTGAAGGAAGGAAATATTATGAATTTAAAAAGACTTAAGTCCAGTTCGTCCAGAAGGTAAAAGGCACTGACTCATTCACATCTTGCAATTGTTCAACTTTTCCCCAAAATTACAGCAATTTAAAAAAACAAAGGACAGGTAGTGTTGTGAGAGGATAGGGGGGTGTGGTTAGTGAGGATGACTGACAGGCGTTAGTCCTTCCGTGGCCTTCAGGGGGAGTCTGTACCCAGTCTGAGTCATGTTTTAAAGAGCTATCATGCTAGCACCTTTGCCCGCTTCGTCTAACGTCCAAACGCCACGACACGAGTTGTGAGGCAAGAACACAAACACAAAGACTTCCTCGAGAGTTAGCGGCAAAATCTCACTAACATCTGTCTCAGTGCAGCTGCAGCTCTAAGTATGATGTTTGGGAGTTTCACTCAAGACTCTCACAGAGACAGACTCTCACAGAGACAGACTCTCACAGAGACAGACTCTCACAGAGACAGACTCACACAGAGACAGACTCACACAGAGACAGACTCACACAGAGACAGACTCTCACAGAGACAGACTCTCACAGAGACAGACTCTCGCAGAGACAGACTCTCACAGAGACAGACTCTCACAGAGACAGACTCTCACAGAGACAGACTCTCACAGAGACAGACTCTCACAGAGACAGACTCTCACAGACACAGACAAAGGAATGCACCAGTACGATACTGGCACGTTTGATTTGATCGAGTATCGGTTTGATACTGGTTCAGTCATTATCCAGAGTAAGCCTTTATCTTTGATGTAACACGTTGTTGTTTACTGTCTGAGATTAGCCCAGAATGCAGTAGTACCTACAACAGTGGTTCAAAATGTTTTTATCGCCCTCTCCAGCCTCGACAGGGCCTGAGTACCCCCCATTGTTCAAATCCCCAGGGGTCAATACACAGAGATCTACAGTTTGTGGAAAGTGGTTTAAAACTCATCTCTGTTACAGTGGTCCCTGGTTTATCGAGGGGGCTACGTCCTAACCCTCAAAAAGTTAAATCCTTGAATTAGCAGCTGTATGTTTTAAAGTGATAGTCTGTAACTCTAAATGAATTACAAATTTTAGGAAATGTGTTAAATTGACCTCCTGGCCTTAAATGTTGATATAAAATAAGTCATTTTATTAATTCTAATATTACAGGCAAGTCCCGCCTTCCCTGCTCTTAGCTATAGTTCAGAATCCACGGTGCCGTCGAGGTTAACCAATCGAGTCATGCCAAGGGCTGTCAATCATCGGCGCTGATGCTCGCAGCTGCGCGCATGCGCAGTTGTTTGTTTTTGCGGAGCCTCCGAATCAAGCCTCTATTAGGCTCTGGAACTACATGAAAACTGAACAAAGAATTCTGAACATCCGCGCTGAGGTACTTATGTATATACTGAACTTATATCCATATATATATCCTATCAGATCCTCTGCAGATGTGTCCTATAATGTGCAATTCATGATAATAGCACTTCCTGGTTTGCCGCGATCGCTTTTTTGTGTGCATAAAAACATTTTTTTTCATTAAAACGTTCACAAATAATTCTGAAAACCTCCGTGGATGTGTATTAATAATGTATATGTATAATATGTTCTCTGATTAACATTTCAAAGTGTTACGGAAATGTAGGTGTAGACCAATCAGAAAGGAAGGGGGAGGGAGCTTGCGTCGTTTTTTTCAAATCAAGTACGTTGCTGTCTCTCTTTCTGACAAACTCCAGACAATCACTTTAAGGCTCTAAAACACCTCAGACACACCATAACATTTTCTAAGTGCAATCACAGAGATAGGAGTGCTGCTGCAGCTGTCAAAAGCCGTGCGTACACTATAAAATACAGCTGAGGGGCAGGAGCAGCTACAGAAAGATACACCAGCAGTCCCTTCACTGGTATCGATTCATTTGCGGTATCTGCAGATATTGAAACCAAATTATTGGGGTCAAACTCGACCGGATTTGTGCATCTAAAATATGAAAGAGCAAGAAGCTCACCTTGAACTAATTCAGGCTAACGGATAAGCACGAACACGGACTAGCATGACTGAATGTGTAGATGACTCAAACTGGGGAAAGACAGAATGAGGCACTCTCCTCCTCTCTCGTATTTCCAGCATGCCCAGTGGTGGTAGTTGCCAGTAGGGGGCGCTCTCTCACACACTCACCCAGGTCTGTTCATATCCGTATTTCGCGCTGGCGTCCTGATCGTCAGACACGTCCTGCGCTAGCTGGAACTCCTGCCGCAGCCGCTGTATTCGGTCGTGGTTGGACGGCGTCTGCGCAGAACTGCAACAAAAGAAGAAAAAATATCAGCATAAAAAATTAAAAAAAACGCCAAAATAAACAAAACAACAGAAGTCATCTGTTATTAGAAAAGATGGAAAGTTCAGAGAGGTGCCACAGACTGTAGAAAGAGTCAAACAGGCTCCTGGAAGATTAGAGATTCATGCTAATTTTTTACAGATTTAAATGATCAGTTTGTGTGTATATGATTGTCAAATAATATACACACAAAAAATATACCAAAAATAACAGTGGGAACATACAAAAAATAAACAGAAGAGACAACCAAAAATAATCAATGTGGAGCCCTTCAGAATGAGGCTTAATTGAGCTAGCCGGTTAGCATTGTCCATTTATATACAGGCTATGGGTGTGCTTCTATTTTGAAAGTGCGCTATCAGCTTTGACGAATTAGCGCAATGGCAGAAAACTAAAGCATGTTCCGGAATAGACGTCTTTTGTCTGCGCTCGGTCATAAATGAGTCGTTATGGTGATTGATGGTTTAACGGAGTCGAAAGCTTTGCGTGAACATGACTTTGGTACAAGTGTCCTCTCTGTGTCTGCGCTGACGAATGAGAGGCAAGGTGGAAGGGCATCTGGCGTAAAACTACAGCTGGGACGGAACCACGCTGTGATCTACGCCTGTGATCAAAGACCACAGATTGTTTTTTTATATAATTACAAAAAGTACAATCTTGAATTTGGCCAAAATGAATCACACATTTTGCAGATGGAATTAGCAACACTTATTTAAAAGCACAGAGGCATATTTTCAGTCTAAACAAAATACTTTAGAAACGCTTATTTTAGGCCCTTCGTTACTTCATAATGTATTTTAATTTTGCATTGTGTCTAAGGAAGAAGCTCACTGCCATTTTTGTGCAAAGAATGTAGCTCTGCAGAGGGAAAAGGCTGGAGACCCTTGATCTATAGGAACAAACAAGTGTTGGGGTAGAAACGGAAAAATCAAGAGTGTGTCCTTTGTTGTGTTTTTACTTTGAAGTATATAGTTGTGCTTGTAAGTTCATATAGTCTGGTTTGTATAGGACCCAATTCACCGTCCACCACCCAAGGACCACGAGGGCCCAGACTTCCCTATTTACACACACTTTCTGCAGCTCATCAGGGTAATCCCAAGGTGCTCCCAAGCCAGCTGAGAGACATAGTCCATGCAATGAACATTATGACAAATGAAATGGCTGAGAAGAATGATCTATTCTTCTGGGGCTGGAAAAGTTATGAGCACGAAATTGCGAGTGGGTGATCTCCATCAAGCTCTTGTACATAACATGAAAGCAGGGGTACGTAACATTGAACCAAAAATAATACAAATTAAAAGGCACTAGTTCCCGCTAGTTTTTATATCCATGTCATTTGGCCTCATCCTGGGCACATCTTAAGCTTTTTCCGGCAGAAATGTGAAATAGAGAGGACCACCCACACTCGGCCAATCAGCTTTCAGCCCCAAAGAGTCAAATAGAAACGCACACGGCTTTCTTACACAAAAGATAATGTTTTACTTTTACAAGACCCTTTCTGTGTCATAAAAGTTATCAGCTTTAACAGTATAATCACCTTGAAAAGAGTAGGAACGTGAATTGTATGGCTCATCTTCAAAAGGATTTTAGTCCTCCTACATCTAAACACCACATTTCTCATAGTCTAGTTTTAATATTTACTGCTGCAGTTTGAGTCATGTGACCTCCTCCGAACTCTGTCAAATTTGCATAAAACCCGTCTCATTTGCATAATCATAATCTCATAAACTGTGCGGTGAAAACAATAGTGACTCAAAATGTAAATGAAAAGTGACTCATCCCCAACAACAGTCCATCACCAAACTTTGTGTTCTCTTAATGTAGAAGTCCAAATTAAAGCTGGGGTACATAACTTTATGTTCAAACAATAGCAACTCAGAGTCTGTAGGAGGAGATAGGACCACACAGTGGTAGAGAGAGGTTAGTGCTTCTGCTCTACAGCAAGGTCATGGGTTTAATTCCACCTCCAGGCCACTAAAACTTCTGCAATAGTCACCTATAATACCCTCTCCGTCTACACACCGCCCCTCTCTCTCTGGGGCCAGGAATCCCAGGAAAAAGAGATACATTCAGGTCAAGTACATAAATAAAAACCTGGTAATTCAAAGACATTGTGATTTATCTTGCTCTTTCGAGTAATAGTGGTTTAAAATCCACTCCAGCCGCTGAGCTCAGTCTGATCCGTGAGGGTTTATCCACTCACCCTCATGTGTTCGGGGTTAATCTCCTTTAACCAATACCTAGGCGGTTAAGAGCTAATAACAGGCTAACAAGCTAACCTCTTTAACCCTAGTGCGGTGAAGGCAAACTGCAGCTAATCCAGGCATCTCTGTGCATCTCATCACAGTGAGAGTGGATAGAGAGAATGTCACCAGATTCAAATGTGACGGAGGGAAAACTGTGTTTATCAAAAGGAAAAACAAAAGTGTCAAAACAAACATCCCATTTGACAAGTCATCTAAAGTCACAAGTACCCATGACCAGAGAGACTAGAGAAAGGCCAGAGAGAGAGAAACTAAAGAAAGAGCCCAGAGTGAGAGACCAGAGAGAGACCCAATGAGAGAAACTACCAGAGAGAGCTCAGAGAGAGAGAGAGACCAGAGAGAGACCCAATGAGAGAGACTACCAGAGAGAGCTCAGAGAGAGAGAGAGAGACCATAGAGAGATCTAGAAGAAACCACGTTTATTAGACTAGGAGAAGTTTCAGAACTTGCAAAAGCCAACCACAGCTAGTTACGCTGTCATTATGAAAAGTATTGTTGTTCGTGTGACTTGTTTGCAGTTTTAGAACCTTCACCTGACCCACATTAAAGCATGGCCTAGAAAACACTTATATTGTGAGACAGGCTAGGACGCAGGCTAGGAAGCAAGGCAGGTTAAAGGCCCAGTCGTTCGGGCACATCCGTCCGTGCGCTCAGTGTTGAAGCAGGAGGCGACACATCCTATATTTTCTACTTAATAATACATAATTCCCGTCCTAAAACATTAAATCCAAGCTGTCAAAAGTGATCGTGATCCCGCTTAAAGGACCGAACACAGATTTGGGGAACACCCTGCAGGATTGACGTCACGTATGAAGTAGTATTTATTAATTCCATTTGTGGCGATAGGCAGAAGATTAAATGACGTAAACTGAACTGTGGGATTAAATCTGGACAAAGGCGAATTATTCTTGACTTCAGTGGACTCTAGGCAACGAGCAATCCATATTTATATAAAAGCACCAGTGTTCAAACAGACCTCACATTACACCCGTGTTTAGGACCTCACATTACACCTGTGTTAAAGTAGTACTAGAATTTAATATGCTGCTATCCAGAATATATAAGTACAATATGTGTTTATAATATTTCGGGTGTTCATTTTGACATGTTCAGATGAATTAAGTTAAAAAAACGGCTTTGAAGTGGCACCTTTTCACTTCCGCATAGAAACGCTAGGGGGAGCCAAAATGGCGGCGATGACGTAGGAGAAGGACCTCTCACAGCAGCAGCAGTCTGGTTGGAAACTGTAGGAGGTTTCACTGTCATCTGAACAAGGTATAAACATATTTTCATCAGTTTTGTACATAATAGTGTGCAACTCTAACCTTTTAGCCTTATTTGTGAGATTCAAGCTAATTAGTGCCACTTCAAAGCCGTTTTTTTTACATAATTCATCTGAACATGTCAAAATGAACACCCGAAATATTATAAACACATATTGTAGTTATATATTCTGGATAGCAGCATATTAAATTCTAGTACTACTTTAAGGACCTCAAATTACACCCGTGTTACAAACCTCACATTACACCTGTGTTAAGGACCTCACATTACGGTGTGAGGTCGGCACGGTGGCTGAGTGGATAGCACTCTTGCCTCTCAGCAAGAAGGTCCTGGGTTCGAATCCCGGTTGGACCAGGGCCTTTCTGAGTGGAGTTTGCATGTTCTCCCCGTGTCTGCGTAGGTTTCCTCCGGGTGCTCCGGTTTCCCCTACCACTAAAAATATGTACAATAGGTCTGGCATGTGCCTCCTGTACTGGCACCCCCACTCCCAAAAATAACAATTGTAAACCGCTTTGAGACTCCGATGTGCAGTGAAAAGTCGGTATATAAATAAAGATTACTTACTACTAAAGATTACTTACTACTAAATATTACACCTGTGTTAAGGACCTCACATTACACCTGTGTTAAGGACCTCACATTACATCTGTGTTACGGCCCTTACATTACACCTGTGTTACGGACCTCACATTACACCTGTGTTAAAAACCATTTGTGCAGCTGAGAACAGGACATTTTGCATCCGTCGCCTTCAAGTCTTTTAAAATAACGAGATATAAATGACTCTCTCAGATCTTCGGCTGCCGCTGTGTGACGGTTCCATCAGATCTTGGTTTCTCGGTTCTTCTAAAGTGGGTAAATGTAAAAGTGATGAGTGGTTTTGTGAAATCTCATCATCTGAGCCACGTCTGCGGAGAAGGGAGTCGTGTGGTTTTATCTCAGAAGATAAACGCGGCGAGAGGCGAAACTCCGATAACAGAGAGATGGGGGACTGAGGCGGATTCAAGAAATGTGGAGAAAGACTTTGTACTGAAGGGACTGAGATGGAGATAAGACCTGGTTTGGACCAGTCTTAGTGCTGCTTTAGACCCGTTTTAATCCTGCTTTAAGACGCAATTTAGTCCTGCTTTAGACCTGCTTTAGTCCTGCTTTGGACCTACTTTATCTTTAGAATGCAAAATTATTTCTGAATTTGAAAATATATGCATAAACATGTATAATGAAGAGGGCCAGGATGAGCAACACCCCCCTCTTGTGGTTTGATTTCTGTCTACTTTAATAACATCAAACATGTTGCAAAGAACGTTGTGTGACTGAAGACATTCCTAAAAGTGATTTTCATACATTCGTACAAGGAACTCTGTGGGAACATGGAGAAACAGTCTATTTTGCAGAATACGTCTCTTTAATAGTAAT